AAATGATTTTACATATATTGTCAATGTTACATTGCAATGTGTTTTTATTTTTTGGTTTTTCAAGAAAAGTACAACATGGATTTTGTTGTTGTATTGATTACAGTAGTTTACTTAAAATACTTTTTTCTTTTACAACTCCTTACTGAATTTTCTATCTTGGAGTTTCTGCCTGAACCAAATTATTTTACTCTGAAAGCATAAGGAAAATGTATGTGTAATTCAGAGTACTTATCAGAACGTTAATTTAATTAGACTTAATGTAATACCCTGGTAAGTCATGGCTATCTTCTCATATTTAATTGAACATTTCTTATAGAGTCAAGATTGTTCAGAAGGTGTGCTCTGGAGTTCATTTTAGAAGAATCTTGTATCTATTACATGGCAAAAGGCAATCATTCATCAGTGACTGAGTTCATCCTCCTAGGGCTCACAGATAATCCGGAACTTCAAGTCATTCTCTTTGGGGTATTCCTACTGATTTACTTAGTTACTGTGATGGGTAATCTTGGTTTGATTGTGCTAATCCAAATCAGTCCTCAGCTTCATACACCTATGTATTTTTTCCTCAGCCATCTGGCTTTTGTGGATTTTTATGGTACCTCTGCTATCACTCCAAACACCCTTGTCAACTCTTTGCGTGAAATTAAAAGCATGTCATTTTATGCATGTGCCACTCAAGTGTGTTGCTTCATTACATTTTCAGTCTGGGAATTATTGTTGCTCTCTGTCATGGCATATGATCGATATGTTGCCATCTGCAACCCTTTACTCTATGTAGTTCTCATGCCTAGGAGACTCTGCATTCAAATGGTCACTGGCTCATATATTTATGGATTCGCCGTGGGACTCATACAAGCAGTGGCCACATTCCACATGTCCTTTTGTGACTTGAATGTCGTCAACCAGTTCTACTGTGATGATGTTCCTCTGATTGCTCTGGCTTGTTCTGATACACGAGTTAAGGAATTGATGTTGTTTTTCATTGCTGGGTTCAATGTTTTTTGTTCTCTCATCATTGTTCTCATCTCCTATATATTCATTGTCTTTGCTATCCTAAGGATCCACTCTGCTGTAGGAAGACAGAAAGCCTTTTCTACCTGTGCTTCTCACGTGTTTTCTATTTCCATATATTATGGGACCCTCAGTTTTATGTACTTACAGCCTAAGTCAAACCACTCACTAGATAAAGACAAATTTGCCTCAGTATTCTATGTAGTGGTGATTCCCATGCTAAACCCATTGATCTATAGCTTGAGGAATCAAGAGGTAAAAAATGCTATGAAAAAAATCATTGAAAAAATGTGTTCTAGTAATCAATAGTAAAATTTGTTGGTAGTAAAGGAAATGCTACATACAGTCAGGACATTTTGAATTAAGGTTTGTATAGTGCTAGTATATGTAGAAGCCTTTGTCCTCTGGAGCTTACTTTTCTTGAAAATATGCCTTTTTATTGATTTGGCTTACAAATGATAGACATTTTATAAATGTTTGTTTCATTGTTGAACTGCAAAAGAGAGAAAAGAATAATCTACTGTCTTTAACCATGAGATGCTTCAGTACTAAATAAAGAAGAAAGCACCTTGAAATTATGACTTTATCTTATTTCACTACACTATTGAGAACTTTAGGTTATCTTGAGAGACATGTACTATTATTATTATTGCATATAATATTGCAAATACTAGGTAAAGTTTCCCTCCATAGCTGAACTGGGGAAAAAATAGTGAGATGCTTGGCTGAAAGATTTTGGTTTGAATATCCCTTACAACTTAGATTATCCTTCACTTTATGATATCTCTATTGATTTGACTGAATATTTTTACACGATCATTCAAGCATCATCCCTCCCATATTACACTCACATTCAGCCAGCACATTTGCTGAACTGATGCATTAGCTATTTGTCCTGGTGCTCTTCCTCCTAGCCCCCCACCCCATGACAAGCCCCAGGGTATGATGTTCCCCTCTGTGTCCGTGTGTTCTCGTTGTTCAACTCCCACCTATGAGTGAGAACATGCAGTGTTTGGTTTTCTGTTCCTGTGTTAGTTTGCTCAGGATGATGGCTTCCAGCTTCACCCATGTCCCTGCAAAGGACATGATCTCACTCCTTTTTAATGGCTACATAGTATACCACGGTGTATACGTACCACAAATTTTTATCCAGTCTACCATTGATGGGCTTTTGGATTGGTTCCATGTCTTTGCTATTGTAAATGGCACTGCAGTAAATATACATGTGCATGCGCCTTTATAGTAGGATGACTTATGTTCCTTTAGGTATATACCCAGTAGTGGGATTGCTGGGTCAAATGGTATTTCTGGTTCTAGATCCTTGAAGAATGGCCACACCGCCTTCCACAATGGTTGAGCTAATTTACATTCCCACCAACAGTGTAAAAGCATTCCTATTTCTCCACAGCCTCACCAGCATCTGTTGTTTCTTGACTTTTTAATAATAGCCAATCTGACTGGTGTGAGATGGTATCTCATTGTGGTTTTTTATTTGCATTTCTCTAATAATCAGTGATGTTGAGCTTTCTTTCATGTTTGTTGGCCACATACATGTCTTTTTTTGAAAAGTGTCTGTTCATATTCTTTGCCCACTTTTTGATGGGGTCATTTGTTTTTAATCCATCTTGAGTTAATTTTTGTAAAAGGTATAAGGAAGGGATCCACTACAGGCATGCACCACCACCCCCGCTAATTGTTGTATTTTTAGTAGAGAGGGGGTTTCACCATATTGGTCAGTCTGGTCTCAAACTCCTGACCTTCTGATCCACCCACCTAGGCCGCCCAAAGTGCTGGGATTACCTGCCTGAGCCACTGCGCCCCGCGAGAGCCCTTGTACTTCAATGCATTGTTGTTCATTAGTAATGTTCCACTTTATTTTTAGTAAGATTTTGCTGTTTCTGTAAGAATTCTCTGCCTCCCAGGCTTAAAGTATAAGCCAAAAGGTTTAAGGTTATACTCAGTTTCTATACATTTCAGAAAACTGAGAAATTTCTCCATTATCCAGAAATTAAGGATCTCATTTTTACCTAAAACATTGGCTTTACTCTCAGGTTGTCTTGATTAAGCTAGCCAATGATTTTTCCCCAACTAAGTGTGCCAGAAAAATGAAACAAAGGGGTAGAACGCAAAAATCCCTGTGAATTTTCAAATCCAAATTTTATAACCCCTGCAATATTATTCCTTTCTGACCCAGTTAGATGTAAGAGGCCTCTAACTGGATCCAAGCCAGTTAATTCCCAGATCAAATCCATTCTTAGACACAGTTCAGTTTCTGTTGCGACTCCAAACCCAGTTTGGATCAGAAGCTTGCTCAAAGTAACTTGGAAAACTCAAAACACAAATTCGTGGAGCTCCAAAACCCAAGAGGGAGCTTACCCATGATGCCCAGCCGCTCTAAGAGACAATGGACACAAGTGGATCCTGCAGGTTCCTTGCTGTTCACTCAGCACTCCTGCAGGTCGCTAAAAGCTCCACTTGGCTTCCCGCTTCTGACGCCATCTGATAAAAGAAAAACTTCAGCTGAATTAAATCTAAAGAAATTTAATTGAGCAACGAACGATTTGTGAATCTAGCAACCCCCAGAACCACAGCAAATTCATAGAGACTCCAGGGGCGCCTCCTCGGCCTCAGTGTCCATTCCGGCCATGCTTGATGAGCCCTTCAGCCCGCTGCTGCACTGTGGGAGCCCCTTTCTGGGCTGGCCAAGGCCGGAGCCGGCTCCCTCTGCTTGCAGGGAGGTGTGGAGGGAGAGGCGCGGGCGGGAACCGGGGCTGCCTGCCGCACACGCGAGTTCCAGATGGGCAGGGGCTTGGAGGGCCCCGCACTGTGAGCGGCCGGCCGGCTGGCGCTGCCCGTCCCTCGGTAGTGAGGGGCTTAACACCTGGGCCAGCAGCTGCGGAGGGTGTACCGAGTACCCCAGCACTGCTGGCCCGCCCGCACCACGCTGGAATTCTCACGGTGCCTCAGGCCTCTCCCCGCAGGGCAGGGCTTGGAACCTGCAGCCCGCCACGCCCAAGCCGCCCCGCCCCCCCCACCTCCCGCCGCCCCGCCCCCCCCACCTCCCGCCGCCCCGCCCCCCCCACCTCCCGCCGCCCCGCCCAGCCCCGTGGACTCTGGCATGGACGGAGCCTCCCTGATGGGTGCCACCCCCTGCTCTGCCGGGCCTGATCCCATCGACCACCCAAAGACTGAGGAGTGCAGGCATGAGTCATGGGACTGGGGAGCAGCTCTGCCTGCAGAGGAAGAACTGGGTTCCTGAATCCAACAGGGACTTGGAGAACTTTTATGTCTAGCTGGAGGATTGTATATGCACCAATCAGCACTCTGTGTCTAGCTCAGGATTTGTGGATGCACCAATCAGCACTCCCTATCTAGCTAATCTGGTGGGGACTTGGAGAACTTTTATGTCTAGCTCAAGGATTGTAAATGCACCAATCAGCACTCTGTCAAAACGGACCAATCAGCTCTCTGTAAAATGCACCAATTAGCTCTCTGTCAAAACGGACCAATCAGCTCTCTGTAAAATGCACCAATCAGCTCTCTGTAAAATGGACCAATCAGCTCTCTGTAAAATGGGCCACTCACCAGGATGTGGGTAGGGTCAGATAAGGGAATAAAAGCAGGCTGCCCAAGCTAGCAGTGGCAAGGCTCTGGGGTCTCCTTCCCTGCTGTGGAAGCTTTGTGAAGCTTTGTTTTTTTGCTCTTTGCAATAAATCTTGCTGCTGCTCGCTGTTTGGGTCTGTACTGCGTTAATGAGCTGTAACACTCATCGCAAAAGTCTGGAGCTTCACGCCTGAGGCCCGTGAGACCACGAACCCACCAGGAAGAACGGACAACTCCAGACAGGCTACCTTAAGAATTGTAACACTCACGGCGAAGGTCTGCAGCTTCACTCCTGAAGGCAGCCAGACTGCAAACCCATGGGAAGGAAGAAACTCTGAACAAGTCGAAACATCAGAAGGAACAAACTGCGGACACACCATCTTTAAGACACTCACTGCGAGGGTCCACAGCTTCATTCTTGAAGTCAGTGAGACGAAGAATCCACCAATTCTGGACACACTGGGATTGGTCAACACTCAGGTATTGTTATGGGTGAATATTATTAAGTTACGTTTTCAGTTTTGTCTTGGCTATTAAACTGGGTTATAGTTTAACCTTCTCAGGCCATATTTAGTTTGCTTTAACACCTCTTAACTGGATGCAGATGCACGCAGGAGACCACTGGACTCTCAATGTGGCTTTTTTCTTCTACCATTTGATTTATATGTGTTACTAAGGTGGTTAGAGGTCTTGCCATTCGGAGTTCAATATTACAATTAGCGAGATTCTATCAAAATGGTAAAACATCATGGTGTTTTGTGAAATAAACATCAAGGTGATTAAAACCTCCATTTGCGAAATTTTGAAACAGAAGGGTTAGTGTATCTTTAAGGAAGTCTGCTATACGGTAACATTTTTTTTCAGAGAAACCAAGGCCAAGAAAATTATTTAATATACAGAATAAAACATCTCATGTCAAATTTGGAAAAAAAAATTCTAATACTTCTACTTTGGATAAATCATAATTACCAGATAAAAATAAAATTTAATAAATTCTGGTTATAAGGAAATAAGTTGGCTTATACCACTAAATATAGTGATTATAAAGCTGTTAAACTTTATTGATTCGCATTAACCAAGTTAAGTCCTTATAGTAAGCCTGTGTGGTGGGAATTATCCCAAGTTTGCCAAATGAATCATAAAGGAAATGAATGTCTTTCTTGCAAACAGGCATCTTACATGAAGCAAAATCAGGATTAGGAGCTAAATGGTTCTGAATTCAAAATTCATTTTTACTCTTGGATATTAACGAATGATCCATGGTCTTACCTTTTTTTTTTTAAGTGCCTTGAGGCAGATTGAGGATCATGGTTGTTGTAGATTATTGCTAAATTGTGCACAACGAACACACTGGCATACTCCACTTCCCTGTGAGCTCTGGCCTTGTAACTTGCTTTATATAATAGAAAGCGCAAAAGTATATTGTGCAACTTCTAAGGATAGACCTAAGGGTTTTGGAAGTGTCTGTATTTTCTTCATGGGAAGGTTTAATGTTAGAACCCTACTGCCCTGTTGAAAACCCAAGGCAGACGTATGGAGAACAGTCTAGTTAGCACAATGGAATTTGAAGACGTAACAAATCATTAGGTCTGGAGTAAATTTTTGTTTAGCAATAGATGACTGAGCTAATGATGATGACATAATTAATTGTATTTTTGGTTAAATTAACTTCAAGAAGAATTCCTGAAATTAAATATTGTGATTTTGACAGCAGTAAAACAATTTTAAAAACTTTCTAAAATAATTGAAGAACAGATTCTCAGAGGCTCTTACCCATGTATATGTAGTTGCCTTTCAAGCTTCCTTGAGTTTCTTTCAAATCTCCAAGGAAAATGAGTAGTAGAATCATCACAGATTCGTTAGACATAAAAATCCAGAAAAATATGGTGACTTCCATAAAATTTTTATTTAATATTTTTGTAGTTGCTTTCAATTCTGTCAGAGTGGTATTATGAAAAATCAGAACGATGATTCTAAGGAAAAAAATCACATTCAATAAGACTTTTTCTTCCTTTTTTTTCTTTGGTAAAAATAAGTGATTTCCTATGATGTTTTTTATGTATATGGCTTTCAATTTATCATTCTACATCTATATGGGTGTGTGGAACGCAGATGAACAGAGTGCGTTACAGGCTTGAAGAGATGAAATGTTAATTTCTTTGTTATTTTCATGATTTTAAATGCTTTTCAAAAGACTTTAGGAAATACAGTGAAGTTTTAAAGTTTTGAACAATTTGAACACAACGTTCAGACAATAATTTTCAGAGATTGAACTAAATATGCCTCCAGGACAATAAGGAATTTATGGATTATTACTTGCTTACTGCTCAACAGGTTATTGAGTTTCAGATATAAGGGTGGATCTTTGGTACAATCCAGATCATTACTTTGTAGCCTTGTAAAGCTCAACTGCAAGTTAACTAACTTTGATTGAGTGTATACCAGGACTACTTACTAAAATTTATAAATTTCATGAAATCTAAAAATATAAAAAGTAAATCAAAACATTTTGAGTTGTTTCCCATATGTTTAACCTTTGCTATTCATTATTAAGACTTTATTATACTTTGGTTCCGGATAGTAACCTGCCCTTTAAGTGGTTATTTTTTGCCTTTTAAACAAATTGGGTCCCCGAAGATCAACCATAGCATAATTGCTCATGTTTGTGAAACATCGTTGTGTTTTTCTTTCAGAATTGCTAAAAATGATGTAATTCAATGAGAATATTCTAGAGAGACCAACAGATTAGACACAGTATATTCACAACACTTAAATAATGTTAAGTATTGTTGACATTCACAGAATTTGCCTAAAGATACATTGAACTCTTTTTGGTTGTTGTGCATTACTCAAAAGCAAGATGTAGTGGGAAAGAAATCAAGGTAATTGAGGTAGAAAAATGGGGTTTCAGGTAACAAACTTTGTATTCATTTGTTCGTTTATTCTACTGTTATTTAAAGTGTCTACTAATTGCTGAGTCCTGCGAAGTATTGGGGAAAATACAGATCTTTATTTATCAAGAATTACAAAATTTAAAGTAGCTTACAAACAGAGGTGACTAGCTTGTTGGAGGTAATAATTGGGAAATAATAAAACATCTCTAGAATGAAGTAAAATTTCACCTCAGATATGGTAAGTGGAAAGATAGTAGCCAGCCAGAGGAAACAAAGATATAAAGGAAGGAGTATTCTGGCCAAACTATGTTAAAAACTCATGGTCACATCTGAGAAACGGATGGTATGCAACATGGTTGATGCACGGGGATTGCATAACAGAAATTGCAAGAAAGGAGACTAATTTACAAAGAAGGGCTTATTTAGGAAAGATTTAATAAATCAGGTTAAGTTTGAGCTCTAGTCCGAAGCTAATGGGAAACAGCAAGCTAAGATTTGCATGTTAGAAAGTACCCCCAAGGTGCCATATTGATAGAGGGTGGCAAAACTGCTGGGAAGGTAACAGAGGGTAACAATCCAGAGCTGTTGTTTGAGGCTGTAATAAGGAAAATATAGAGGATATTAGAAGTAGACTTCAAAATCTAGGTTAAATCATTAGTAGCATTCACTTATGGGTCGTTAGTGGACGTTAGAGGGACATACGATTTTTTTTTTAACTGCATGGCAGATGGCACCATTTAGTGAGTTATAAAATATATGCTGCAAGGCATGTGAGTGAGGTCGGGTGGCTTTTGAACTGATGTCTCCTCTTTAAACATGTTAAATTTAGGTACATCTGGAATATATGATAGAATTTGCAAGAAAACCAAGTAGATATGTGTACAAGGAGTTCAAAGGAGAAATGTGACCTGGAGATCTAGACATTTGCATCACCAGCACATGAATAACAATGATCTCCATAGCATCAGATGATAGCTTCCAACAAGAATATGCAAAAAAGACATGATTTGGCTTAGGAAATAACTGTAAAGTAATAGGGTTATTTAAATCATAAAGAAGTACAGCCATCAAGGGAAGTAAAAAGTAGACAGAAAGATGGGAAAACCCAGAGACTCTGATGGCTTGGAAAGCAACAAAATAAAGGTTTTCATGATGAAAGGTGATGCTAATGATATCTGATGCTACAGAGAAGTCAGATTTTTAAATCTTCATTGGATTTGTGAGAAAAGAGAATGTTGCTGAACTTGGAGACAGCAATTGCATTGCAATGCTAAGAAAAAATAAATACAAGAGACTGATGTACAAACGTGAAGGATGCATAACCAAGGTTATGACTACAAAAGGGAAGGGCAGAAGTTTGTGATCATAAGAAAATGTTTCAATTTTTGATATTCTGGTACTAAAAGAATAAAGAGAAGAATAAAGGAATAAAGGTAGAGGAGTAGTAGATTGATGTGAGAGATTTAATAGATTAGCAAAGGAAGGAGATGTGAAAGGCCAAAGAGAATGGAACCAAAGTATAAGTTTGGGTATGAGAAATAGGAGACTTCTTCAGTCCCCCACCCCCACCAAAAAATGTAACAAGAATAGATGTGGAAGCAGGTAGTTTCACACAACTGGTGACAAGAAGTAGAGAAATTTCTATTTTATTATTTTAATTCCCATTTTAAGTATCAAAAAGTTTAGCATCTGTTTAGCATATATGGTAGTAGTAGTACTGTTTAGCATGTGTAGTAAGAGTAGTATGGATAGAATTAAAAGGGTTGAAATAGCAACATGCAGATTGGGAGAAAGACCTTGGTTAAGGAAAAGTCAGTCAAGTAAATAAGTAGCTGATTTTGAATATGAGTTTGTAATAGTTCACTTTTTCTTAACTGCTGTTCTTGATAGTTCAGATTTCATTGCGAAGAGAACATTACAAAATACCCAGATTTGGGTATATCTAAAAAAACAGAGCAAGGAAATGTTGGATGTTGGGAAGGGTAGTTGAAGCAATACATCATGGAGACTAAGCTTGTATAGGGGAAGAATTGAAAAAATAAAGTGACAAATTTAATTTTAAGATGATTAAGGAATAGTGATATGTGTGAATAAGTGAAGACCTGTAGTCATAACCTCAGTTATGACTACAAAAAGGAAGGGCAGAAGCTTGTGATCATAAGAAAATGTTTCAATTTTTGATATTTAGCGTTTGATAAACTTGTAGACAAATAATTTTAAACATGGAATCATGGGAGTGGAAAGCTGAAGTGGAATGGTGCTGGGGTCTGTGATAAAAATAATCAATAATCAGAAAAGCCATATATTGAAAGTGTAATGTTCATGGGAACTAATGACAACTTTGTGAAAGAACAGAGTGTTCTTGGTGTCAACATTCTCAATAAATAACAAGGAGTGACCTGGAAATACACAAGTGACTGTTAAGGTTTGGCTCTGTGTCCCCACCGAAATCTCATCTTGAACTGTAATCCTCATAATTCCCTTGTGTCAAGGGAGGAACCTAGTGGGAGGTGATTGAATCATGGGTTGAACCATGGTTCAACCCATGATTCAATCCATGATGGTTTCTCCAATGTGGTTCTCATG